AATGGATATGGCTGCAGGTTTTGATTGCAGGTGAGACCGTTAGATATACCTCTTGGTTGCGTCACTCGGTCAACTCACAATTGCGATTCTTCCCAAGTACCTAAAAGTTTATCTCAAATCATTCTGGTTGCTTCATACTTCAAACTTAAAAAAAAACTATCGACGCCCAAACAAGACGCTCCCCCACTACTCTCGCGCGTAAATCAGTCCCTAGGGGACATGCTTAAATGGTTAGGGTCAGGCAAATGACAAGTAAACCTGTGGTACTGAACAGGATATTTACTGTTGTCCATCTTAATTCACCAAGACAAAATACAGGGTGGCGCATATAAATGAGAAATGATGTCACTGTGCAGCGAGGTTTTAAGAGCGCTTTTCGAAAGTATTAAACCTCAGTAGCTGTCTGGTCATTGACGCTCGCAATGCTCAATAATCGACATGTCTTCAGAATACGATCGTCGAGCTGCTATTGTGGGGAAGCTTCGCGCCGAACGCAAAGCCAAAGAAATCATTGAATGGTTTAAATACCCTAAAACCATTGTCTACGACCTTTCAAAAGTATATGGGGTCACAGGTGACAAGAGATTTCAGGCCAGAACGCAAGACTCATGGGAAGGGCTTTGATGTTAACGCCCGTGTTCGTCGCCGACGTCACCGAAGTTGTCACGTAGAATCTCAACAAATACATGAGGAAAATCGACAAGGAAATTGCCACCAGCAAGCGTATAAACGAATGTATTGTCAAGGAGGACTTGAATTATAAATCAAGACACGCCACTTGCCCACCGTACCACTGATCGTCCGACTTATTCTACTGTACTGTACTGTACTGATGCGGCATTCACCCTGGGCGGATTGAGCCGGCTTCTTCCTGTTATAAGAAGAAGATTCTTGGGATAAATTACAGAAGTAGATACCCAGGCCTACTCGGATAACGTTCTTGCTTGCCGCGGGGTTCCCACAGACGCAGAGACAGAAACGACCAGAAGCCGCCGGTTACCGATGCAGACGCTCCTTGGATTTTCACCAGAGCCCTTGTTAGCCGGCGTGTGTGTCAGACCTGTCCGCCTTGGGTGGCCCTACCAGGAACGAAGTTCCGGGCGGCATAGCTCTGACACTACCGTTTACACCCCCCCACCGACTGTGAGGTAAGGGTTGGACTTTGGGGGCTTACAGTACCAGGTGTTCCCAAGCGGTCCCCCATCTAAGTACTGACCTGGCTCTACGATGCTTAACTTCGGTGATCGAACGAGAACCGGTGTTTCAGCGTGATTTGACCGTAAGCCTTATTCCCCACCATTTCATCGTCAGACAGCATTCCTCACGACTATTTTGTGTGGGACGCCTTCGAGAGGGGAGGGTGAACAGTAAGCCCTACAATACCAAGAAGGTTCTCAAAGCAGACATCAGAGACGCCATGGCCAACATAGACAGGGATGCCATCACCAAGGCCTCCTCTCGCTTCCGGGACGCCTGAAGAAAGTGGTGGCCGCCGATTGTGGCCACATCGAGTAATTCTTGTACCTTATATATGTGCCACACTGTGTATAAAGTTTTACTGAAATATATTAATTTCTTTTATAAAAACACTGTTTTCATTATCCATTTTTTTATTCAGGATTTATCTGCGGCACGCTGTACATATTAACATCTCCAACTAAAATCAAAATCTACACAAGTTAAGACTGGTATAAAATCAGCGAATTTATTATTATTATTATTGTTTTATTATCTTATTTTATTATTTTGGTTTCGGGTCCTGACCAGAGACCTAAGGTCAGAAATGTCATCATGGCATTTTCCACTGAGCAGTTTTGAGAAAAAACTCGCACACATTTTACATAAAGTCCTTCGTAAGGTTGGGGCTGTACTTATGAGTACATTTTTTTTTGTATTTCTTTAAGGCATGAGCTACCAGGTATTCCTTCAATGAGTCTATTGGAATCTTTTCCAATCAATCCGAGTGCTCGAACTACAACTGGAATTACTGACGTCCTCGTGTGTCACATTTTTGAGATTTTGAATTCATGGTTCTTGTATTTTGATTGTTTTTTTTTTTTTTTTGTTTTTTTTTTTTTTGAAAATCTTCAAATATACACTGCAGTCTACGGGGACTGCCATGTCAATAAGGAGGCATATTTTGTCTTTGCGGTCTCTAATCACGATGTCAGGGCGATTAGCTTTGATTGCTGTTATTGTTCTTATTATTATTATTAATAATAATAATAATAATAATAATATTTCTAATATAATTTCATTTTGATTTTCATGTTTATTTTTTGAAAAGGACTGTTCGTTGAAGTTTGTCCCAAACATCGAATGTGGTCTTCAAAACACAGCCTTCGATTCTTGGTCAGACCTGTTGTCTTACATTGCCATACTGCCGCCCTGTGTGACCTCTGATATGCCAGGTAAGTTTTGGCAATTGTTTTCGTTGTTATTCTTTTTGTAAGGTCTTCTCTTGCTTATTAATCTATCTTACTGAAAGGACGTCATCAGTGTTTTCTACAAAAGGGAAGATTGCTATATTCAAATGTATAAATACAAAATCATTTTTTTTACAACAAAAAACTCGATGACATCAATATTGAAGTTTGCTGATAAAACAACATTCGATGAAGGAATAAACATAATTGCAAGATGGTAGGTTTTTTATAAGCCTTTTCATTTCATGAGTTCTACGATGATGGCCTCTACCTCAGTATTTCTTAAACTTTATAAGCAACAGTACACTTGGAAGCAAATGAAAATATCACGGCACACTTAGCAAAATTTTCAGAGGATATACATTTAAATGTTATGAAATAAAACCATCGATTTAAAAAAAAAATACACACACAAATATGAACTTACTTTATTTCAGTTTCTTAATTAGCGTGAAAATTGTGTCTGTTTTTTTTTTTTTTTTTTTTTTTTTTTTTTGCGAATTCTTCAATGTTTGGTCGAATGTGCGATAAACAAACCTCATTTCTTCTTCAGTTAAGTGTAGTCCTTCTCGCTTCTTATTTTTAATGTTATTTAATTCACGTAAGAAATAGAAAATTGCATTAAAACTGTTAAAGCCTTTTTAGTTAATGTGGGATATACCTTTTTTATTGAAATCCAAAATGTATTAATGGCTACCGTCAAATGTTTTATTTTGAGCCCTCGATCACTAGAAATGGTGGCCAATTTGTCTTCTTCATATAACTGAAGTCCAATATTAGAAGGAACATTTATGAAGGGATTTCGAATTTAATCATACTTTCGCGGCACACTTAAGAAACTCGCGCGGCACTCTTGTGTGCCGCGGCACCCTAGCGGTTGAGAATCACTACTCCACATATTAAATGGGATGATCATGCACAAAAAAAGAAATTATTTTAAGCAAATAACAAGTTAATTCCCTGTCCTGATATACTACAGTGTATTACTTAAAAAAGAGACATACATCTTAATTAGACTTAATTTACAATGTTAACACTCATATTAGGTTTATTGCAACGACATAATATGAACATTTTACGTTTGGTACTGAGCCAATAAGGCTTTTGGAAAACTTTTTTTTTCTTTGACAGCAACCATTCGGCAAGCAGTGAGGTAATTTGTCTGTAGATGTTGTTCAAAAGGCACTTTTCTGTTATTGAATTAAACTTCAGAACAAGTTTTTAGCTGTATCAATGCCAACTTGTCAATCCATCTACAATTAATACAAGAAATCTGAAACAAGAGGATATTTACTTACATTATTTACATTCAGACTGATTTTTTCATCTTTGTTGTTGCTGCTGTTTTTGTTATTATCGCAACGTTTCGGCCGTTGTGCCTTCCAGCCTTCTTCAGATTTATCCGCATGTTTCCAGGAATTTCGGACATTTTTTTAATCATTTCACGGCCAAACAAGGCGATAATGCCACGAGGTCGCCGGGAATTAGTTACAGCGAGTGAAATAGAATGAGAAAATGATAATGGGGAAAAATTAAAAGAAAAGGCAATAAGGGAACAGAATTCAGGAAGACAGAAAATGGCGATTGGTGTTGCATTTAAATTTTTTGAGGCTTGTCGGTGGCAGAGAAGCTAGAAATCGGAAATATGTTCCACAGACTGGAAGTGCGAGAAAGCAAATTATTAACAGAGAACTAACGTTTGTATCTAGCTAGTTCAACAGTAAAACGGCGAAACCTTGTTGCCTATCTAGTAGAACGCTTAAATTCATACGGTCGAGGCAGTAAGGAGAAAAGCTCACCAGAACAATTGTCAAGAAAATATTTGTTGAAAAGGCAGAAGGAAACGATGTCAAGACGGTGAGAATGTGACTGAAGTCGAGGTGCCAGGTCAGGACCGATTACATTGCAGATGTTACTGTCACAAGATGCGATGGACAGGGCCAGAATTGTCAGCGATTGTTCGGAGTGCCTCGTTGGCGGGGTATTCTGGCAGTGATGGATTGCCTTTGTTTGGGTTTTGAATATAAGTTCAAAACGGCGCGAATTCCAAAAAGGACCGCCAGAATTCTGAAGCGTCGATACGCCTCCCAAACCCAGGTTAGCGAACGGCTAAGACGACCCGCGGAGGGACACTGAGCCGACGTGCGACATGTGTTCCTGTGACTTCATTCTTCCTACTGCCTCTTAGACTCCAAGCTGCCACCCTTCTTTCATAATAAAACGAATAACAAAAAGAAATGGTCCTTTTAGTTGATACCGTTTTATGTAGTAGCGTGCGGATCCAGAGACGACACAGAACTCGACTTTACTGTTATGTTTGATGATAGGTGAAAGGAATAGGCGTCTTCAAGGTCTTTGTAAAAGTTACTGTAATTTCTCAAATGTCTTTTTCGTTCGTCTCTCATCGCATAACTTATGCATGGCTACAAAAACGTCCCTGCTTACTCATGGTATCTCGTAGATTGTTTTTAGCACATTAACTTTTGAAAATTCCAAAATATTTTAATTTTTTAATAAACGGTTCAATTTATTGATTGATTGTTTTGTCTGTTTAACGGCATATCAGCTTATGCATCCTTTAATACCAAAAATTTAATTTCTTGGGTTCTTAGAAGTATTAAAAGTACATTATGTTATTCTGCTTTCACAGTTGAATACATGGTAGATGATACTCAGCTTTTGTGCATATACATGTTCGTGTGAATATAATTACTAGAAACGGTGATATATGTGTTTTATGTTGTAGTTTTGTTGACGTTATATTTTGGATTACAGTTTTATTTAAGAAAGTGCAGGATATTATATAGATTAAAGTCATAAAAGTGTTTTTCATGTTAGTTGTTTGGTAGTATTTTAAGCAGATTTGGATGAAGTCGCTACAATTTGTTAGTATCTGCGTCACCGTTTGCCACTCTAGGTCAGCCCCCTTTTACTCGACACAATCGCGCAACATTCACCCACCTTTTGCCAAATTCTGATGAGGTGAGCCGCCGCTTTTCCGTCCTAATCTTAACTTTAAGCTGATGCCTAAAGAACAAGATCAGTTGGGAAGAAGTGAACTTCTCACCCTCATAGAATTTACTCTCATAACCCCCAGTAAGCAAAAGAACACATATTGCTAACTATTACACCGCCTCGAGGTACCCGAACCTTACTACATAATACGCCAATTGCTTTCTTGTATATATTAACTGTTATGGGACCTACCTTTATGGACTAAATGGACTCGTCCTATTACTATATATACGGGGAGATTATGCCTCCCAAAGGAGCTGTCTACAGTTGACCTGTTCCAGCAATTCTCTGCCTTTGGGCGGAGAGGAACTCGGACGAGGCTCCGTTCGAACGAGACTCTGCCCTTCGACGGAGCCTCGTTGAGGTTGACTGCCCCTGAACCTGTTTATGCGAGTTCAAAGAGGGATTATTTTTGGTCGAGCCTTCGGGCTCGGAAATCCCACGTTAAACCGGCCTTGTGCCACATGTAACCCTCATGGGGATGAGTAACTAAATATCGCTGTCTATAGTTGACCTGTTCCAGCTAAACAGTCAAACTGTCTGCCTTAGAGCGGAGAGGAACCCGGACGAGGCTACGTTGAAGGGCAGAGTCTCGTTCGGGGAGGTTGACTGCCCCTGAACCCGTTTATTCGGGTTCAAAGATGGATTATTTTTGGCTGAGCCTACGGGCTCGGAGATCCCACGTTAAACCGGCCTTGTGCCACATGTAACTCTCGTGGTGGGGTAACTAAATATGGCTGTTTACAGTTAACGAGTTGTCTACTGTACTTTGCCGTCAGTCGGATGTGCAACACTTTTGTATTCGTTCTTTTTGTTAATAATATGTTTTCACTAAATTGCTGAGTTCGAGTTTTCTTTCGGACCTGTTCTGGGTCCACAACATTAACTATCACTTCTGTAACCTTTTACTTTAATAAATTACCTTCTTTGCCCTAAAGAACCTAAGTAGCAGTGCCTTTGTTATGACACGGGAAAGTGTTCCAAGATGTTTACGAAGCTGCGACTCCTTTAAAAAAACAAAAACAGAGTACAACAATAATAATTACAAAATATATACTTGAAATTCCAACATTTTTAAAGCATGGTTATTTCATTAACAACAGAACCGTGTTAGTGATTGCATTTATTTTTTAAATTATTTTTTAAACCCCGGCTATGCTAAAAGCGATTTTTTTTTATTATATTTCAACAAAGCTCCATTAATTGTCATAATTTCTGTTTACTTTTTTTTTAGGTCAGTGGGTGGTGCCGTGCAGTCAATGCTCACCAAATTCTCTCTGCTACTGGCAGAAAGCAATATGGCAGCCCAAATCATGTACTTACCGATGGATCTCGAGAAACAAATTAACGAAATGTTTTGCCCGAAAAAAGGTTAGAGCTTAATCTTAAATTTCAACCCGAAAATAAAATAAAGATACAAAATTCAAAGTTGAACATCAGCAGCAGCGGCAGTAGCAGCATCAGCATCATTATGTGTGGTCATAGGGTCTATGTGCAGCTGAACACATGACCAGCTCCCTCCATATATCTCGGTTGCGTGCCAAAGTCTGAGTCTCCGTGAATGATCGTCTAGCCACGTTGTCAGCCTTTTCTCCACTCTGTCTGCCTATTCTTTTGCCTAAGGTGGGACCTTGAAGAATGGCAATTGAAAGCTTGTTGGTTCTTATGACCTGTCCAAAAGCATTTCATCTTTCTTTTCTTGACGATCGATATTAGATTTTCCAAATGCCTGTTTCCTGTCTGATAGTGTCACTGCGTCATGTTTTATGTTGTCTACGCAAGAGACGGCTAGGATGGTTCAGTATCATCTCATTTCTAATGCTTGGATTCTTCTACTGTTAATGTCCAAGATTCGCAGACGTCTAGAAAGACTAAGATGGTCAATGCACATAACAGTCTGATCTTTGATTTCAGGCAGATGTTCTTGATTTTTCAGATTATTCTCCGTTTTGCGACAGCAAAAGTGTTTCTATTCTAGAATCCTCTTCACCGATAATCGAACCAATACATCCAAATTGGCTCACGAATTTAAATTCTTGACCATTGACCTTTATCTAAATGATGAATTACTCGAAAGAAGACTTGCTAATTTCATAAAGGAATTTTAAATTTGGCCAAATAACTCTTACCTCAAGTTCAAAATAAACGCGAAAAGTTTATTTAAAACCAGATCAAATTGACCTTCGTGATGTTCAATCTATTATTTATCTAATATGCGATTTCTACATAGCTTAGACATAACAAATATTCATATGAGTGAAATTAAAATCTTTTCCATTGTCTTCTTACAGATACTGTTCCTAGGTGACTCAACCAACCGTGGTATTATGCATTACCTGTTAGAACAGGTAAACGGAACATTGCAGGAATGGGACAAGACCCATGATATCAAACTCTACAGCAATCTCAATAATCATAAGACCAGCATGAGCTTCGCCTACTACCCTCAGTTTTGGCTCCCTACTGACCATCGACCAACATTTGACAAGGCATTCTATCAGCTCGTTCGCAAGTACGACCATTACTTTTCTCATCACTGTGTTCTTGAGAAACACCTTGTTTCTGGGTGGCTAAATAAAAGCACAGAGGAATTCATTAAATTATTTTTTTTAATACTAATAATTAGATTTATTTTCTTCCAAAAATATCTAGCATTTACGAAAAAAACGTAAAGTCAGAATATTTGAAGGATACACCGGCGTTTTAGAATAATTTGAAAATCTGTATTTACCGACAAATGTCCAAAAGCAATTGCTCTTGTTGGACACATGAATGAAAATTATTTGGCGATTTAATTTGAAATTACATTGAATGTAATTTCGTAAATAGTAAGTTAGGCGTTACAAACTATATCTTCTTCTATGTGCTGTGTTTCTTCAAGACGTAACTCTTAATAAATTTTGTCTTTTTTTATCTCTCCTAAACCCTGTTCTGCTATCTACTTGCCTAGGTATATTATGTTTTCCTCTGTTCCTCTTGACTTCAAACTGTCCTTTGAGTATGAATTTTTCCAAGCCCTCTTTCCTCATTATGTGCCCTAGAATTTTCTACTTTTAGCTATAATTATCTGATCTTAAGTATAATTATCCTTTTCGCTTCCATTTTCTTTAAAACTTCGTTGTTGCTTACATGTTAGGTCCATGGTATTCTCAGTATCCTTCTGTAGACACACATTCGTGTTGATTCAAGTCTCTTTTTCATCTGTGAGGAGATTGTCCAGTATTCACTGCCATATAAGAGAACTGATACTACGTAATAGTTCAATGAAATACATTTTACAAAGGTTTCTAAGTATTTTTCATAATTAAAAGAAATAAAGATTTCTTGAGTATTCTGCATCCATACCCTCACAGTATAGGCCCCTCATTATCCTCAGTGTCAACAGTGAACGTTTGAAGCTATAATCAACAAGAATTTTATATATCACCTCAATAGAAACACCAAATTGCGCGACAAACAGTACGAGATTCGATCGGTCGGTCCACTGCTGATATTCTACCATTACTCACAGTATCAGTGAGGAATTAGACAACAAAAACATCTCAAGGACTATCGCATTAGATATTTCAAAGGACGTTGACAAGGTGTGGCATAAAGTGTGGCGCAAGTTCTTTAGATTTGGACTTGAATAGTCTTCTCAATTAAAGTCATTCTTAACGGATAGGTCCATGAGGGTAGTTGTTAACGGCCAATCCTCCGATGCACAAGCGATCAAAGTTTCGCTTCTCGGTTCAACCCTCTTTCTAGTTCGCATCAATGATCTGTCTGTTGAGAATATCTATGCTGATGATACACTGACAAACCTCTAGATGACCAGAACTTGGCAGCTGATCTCTCCTCTGGCCAACTTCAGAGGGGAAAAAATGGTTGGTCTCAATCAATGCCTCGAATAGCAAACTAGTTACATTACGTCATCGCCGATCGGACCCAGAATTTTCACCAATCGTTATGAATGGATGTCCCCATCAGAATTTCGAACTTAAACTCAACCCAAATCTCAAGTATATATATGTATATATATATATATATATATATATATATATATAAAGAAAAAATTTCATCTTAGCCGACGTGTTTCCTCCTCTGAGGGTTTTTAACAAGGCAAATGCAAGGATTTTATTTTGTAAGAAATATTAATGTACAAGAGTCAAAATGTTATTGTTTTTATCAGTTTTTTAAAATTTAAGAACGCTAATAAGTTATCAGGTTGGTCGTAAAGTCAGGCAGTCTATGGAGGACCCGACGTGACATAATTCAATGTCTAATAAACGAAAATGAATAAGTGAAGATCTTGAATTGTTTTTATGAAAATTAGTAATTAAATTATTCAAGTTTGGGATTAGTTTATGTGTTATATATTTTTAATAAAAGGAGTTTATGAATTTAATCGTTTTCTTTTAATTTTTGAACATTCTTATAGTCATGTAGGTTGTCTTGATAAAGTAATAATTCTTTCAGGAATCGAAAGAATCCCAGCGCAGATTTATATTTTGATAAGGTTCACTATATAAATACTTGTTTAAAAATAAAATCCTTGCATTTATCTCAAAGAGCGAAACGCGTTGGCTAAGTTTTCCTCTTGTCTCTATTCAAATATACACTATCTTAAATTTTTACACAAATACACACACACACACACACACACATATATATATATATATATATATATATATATATATATATATATATATATATATATATATATACATACACACACACACACATATATAGACAATTTATATCTATAAAAATAACGTATAAACAGAAAATATGTTAAATAATTTTCGGACTTAATCCATTTCAAGTAATTTAATTAATTTAAGTAATTCATAGAGTTTAGAAGAAGCATCAACAGAATGCAGAAAGCAATGGACGGCCGTTTTGTCCTATATTTGGGACCCACCAGCAGTGCGCATCCACAACCCAGAATTGAAAACCAGACAGTTACGTTATCAGGCAAACGTCATACCAACTGTTCCAACGGGCCTCGGTGATAAAGGGGTCGCGAATCAGACTCAGTTCATTTTATAAACTTTTTATTGCTAAAATATTTAGTTGATTTGTGTATAAAAGCTATTCGTTGTAGTTTATTGTAATTTATCTTGGTCCGTAATCTAAGAAACTTTTTTTAATCAAAACCCTTAAAAAGAATCTATTTTTTTATAAAAGATACACCTTTACAAAGATGTTATTTCAACAATTATTCGCTAAATGAATACTTCAACCTATCAATGTGATTTCCTCTCTTCAGAAACTTACCGTTGGAGAACAATACTAACACGGCTTTAGTGATTGGCGGTGTTCATTGGCTAGACAAGCGACATGTAGATATAATCATGAGAGGGATCCAAAGGTATGTATTTATTAATTTTTTTAATGATTTAATCTGCCTGCAAGCTATCTGTTTAAAATGAGTTAAATATGTAAAATATTAAACCGTTCTTAAAAACACTAAAATGGCCGCAAGGTTGTTAAACCAGTTTTATAAATTATTAGGTAAAAAGACAAGGATCAATGCAGATGCTGTGATCTGTCTTTGATTATTTAAGATGTATTTTCATACGTAATATCTTCCGTAGATATTCCGCTCATTAAAACTTTGGATAAAATTTTGGATCGAAAATAAATTCAATTTTGAACTTTGTCTTTGTGTGCGTGTTGATGTAAACTATTCCCATTCATTTTTTTAAAAAATGACATAAACTTTGTTAATTTGGAATTTGTTTAAGAAAACAAGACAAACTCAAAAACCTTCTGAGATGCTAATTTTTAAATTCAGATATAAACAAATAAACATTTTCTTTAGCCATATGAAAAGAATTCTCTTCATGTCTTCAAAAAGATAAAGTTGCTGGAATTAAGTAAATAGAATTTTTGCTATCCGTGCCATTTCTCTTAACACGATACTGAATAAAAAAAAAATCAAAAGACTAAAACTCTAAATGAACAGTCGTTTTGTTTCCGTTCATAAATTTGTTGTCTTATCGTTAGTACGGCGCAACCATGGAAAAATGACAGCGGTTGACATTAAAATTGCTACATAGATAAGACTTTTTTATGATAATACACTTACTGTATATAGTCGGATGTGTCTAATTTAGTTTTTCTTTCAGAATGGCATTCGTTTTAATATTTGATTCCTACTAGTCTTTGGTAAAAATCGTTATTAAACTAAAAATCAGACGGAAAATCTCCAAAGACAGAAAGCTATTAATTGTAGACAGCTGCCGTTTTGGGATTTGCGCGTCGATAAAAAGAAAATCCAGCGGTTGTAAGTTCGCTCTTCCTAAAATCAATCCACGTTTTGCCATCTTGTTTTAGATTTTTAGCAAATGTTTCAAATATGTCCAATGATTATTTTAAAGTCATTACTTCAATATCTAAAAAGAGTTGGGTAATCCAGAAAGGGTGGAAATTTTTCAGTTTATCTGCACCTTACTTAGTTTTGGGAATTTCTAGTTCGCTTGTCTAATGCGTGTTCAGATCTCTCAGTGCCGCATTTTCCATCCCCTGCTAAAACGCTTCCCAGATATTTGAACTTCTGCTCTGGTTTGATGTTTATATCTCTAATTTGTAACTCGCATCTCGAGTTTTTTTTCTTTTTTTTCTCTTGCTGGTGACCATGCTTTCTGACACATGGCTCAAATACTGAGGACACGTGGCTCAAATACTGAGGACACATGGTTCAAATACTGGGGACACATGGCTTAAATACTGACGACACATGGCTCAAATACTGGGGACACATGGCTCAAATACTGGGGATACATGACTCAAATACTGGGGATACATGGCTCAAATACTGACGACACATGGCTCAAATACTGGGGATACATGACTCAAATACTGACGACACATGGCTCAAATACTGACGACACATGGCCCAGTCGATAAAAGCGTTGGTTGAAGTAATCAAATAATTTGACCAAAGAGTAGTGAGTTCAATACTTGACCACAGCAGAGAGAACAAAATCTTGTAGAGTTTAGTATACTAAAGGGAATTGCCTCAAGGGCATTGTCAATTAGAACAATCTACCCCCGTGGATTAAATAAAGGGTTCAATTCGAAATTCCAACGAATAAGGTGGGAGTGTGCAACGGCCGAAACGTTGTTAATATGACAATAATAACGAGGACAACAGTTTGATCGATGTAAATACAATCTCATAAATATAGATCTATACCTAAAAAGGGGTTAAAAACATTAAGGCCAAGTTATGAGACTTATTTGTAAGATGTAATGAGGAACTTTTAAGGAGAACAGGAACTACGAAGAAACTGTTAAACACAATCATAAGGAGACGACTGTAGATTTCGGGCAATATAATGAAGGAAAAATGCTTGGAGAATTTAACACTCACAGGGCACATTGCAAGCAAGAGGATAAAAGGAAAGCAACGATTAACCTACTTGATATATTTCTGCAAATGAATCGAACGTAACAAGTAGGACAACGACACAGAGGAATCATAAAAAAGGCAAGAATGATTGAGTGCAATAAAATATAAGAAATTGTGGAGAGCCAAGATTACTGTGATCGAGGGGTTAGTTACAAAGCTCGCTATCCGACCATGGGACACCAGTTCAGATCTCTACCATGATCGGAGTACATGAAAACAGTACCACAAGTTAACCCAAGCCCTGTGAGTGGAATTGGTTAGACAAAACTGTTTGGAAGCCCTCGATGGTCGCGTTAGCATGACGTTACAAGTCATCGTGACCGAGGTTTTGAACGTTCTGGCCTTATTCAAATTGTTGATCACGCCAGATTATACGCTATCTTCCAGAAACTCTAACGGAAGTCCGCTCAACATAGCTTCAGTATAGACGACAGGTGGTCTCTGTGGGTGTTGAACAAACACAAATGTGCCTGAGCAGATGTCTGCAACAGTGAGTAGATAGCCGCCCTAGCAGAGGGAGAGCTGGGAAAACGAGTAGCCAGTCATTATATCTATAAACAGAAAAAAGTAAAGCTTCACAGTAATATTTTGTGCAGTTATCGCGACACACCCATTTTAAAAACTGTTGTTGCTTGTTTTTGTCCCCTGCCGCGAAAACAAATTTGTCAGCTGTTAGATGCAATGAATTACTTTTAAATGGCATAAGAACTTGAGAGTAACCATGGATACGAGAAAAGAGAAAACTGAAATATTCGAGAGGCATGATAAAGAAAGAAGGCTTCGAGAATTTAATGCTCACAAGACAAATTAGAAGCAAGGGAATGAAAGTGAAGCAGATATTCCCCAACTTGATATATTTGCGGAAATGGACATAGGAAATGGACATAGGAAATGGATGTAGGAAATGGACACAGAAAATGAACATAGGAAATGGACGTAGGAAATAGCCATAGGAAATGAACATAGGAAATGGACGTAGGAAATGGCCATAGGAAATAAACATGGGAATTGAACATGGGAAATGACCAAAGGAAATGGACATAGGGAATGGATGTAGGAAATGGACACAGAAAATGAACATAGGAAATGGCCATAGAAAATAAACATGGGAATTGAACATGGGAAATGACCATAGGAAATGAACATATGGAATGGATGTAGGAAATGGACACAGAAAATGAACATAGGAAATGGCCATAAGAAATAAACATGGGAATTGAACATGGGAAATGACCATAGGAAATGGACATAGGGAATGGATGTAGGAAATGGACACAGAAAATGAACATAGGAAATGGCCATAGGAAATAAACATGGGAAATGAACATAGGAAATGACCATAGGAAATGGACATAGGGAATGGATGTAGGAAATGGTCACAGAAAATGAACATAGGAAATGGACGTAGGAAATGGCCATAGGAAATGAACATAGGAAATGGACGTAGGATATGGCCATAGGAAATAAACATGGGAATTGAACATGGGAAATGACCATAGGAAATGGACATAGGGAATGGATGTAAGAAATGGACACAGAAAATGAACATAGGAAATGGACGTAGGAAATAAACATGGGAAATGAACATAGGAAATGGACGTAGGAAATGGCCATAGGAAATAAACATGGGAATTGAACATGGGAAATGACCATAGGAAATGGAATTAGGGAATGGATGTAGGAAATGGACACAGGAAATGAACATAGGAAATGGCCATAGGAAATAAACATGGGAATTGAACATGGGAAATGACCATAGGAAATGGACATAGGGAATGGATGTAGGAAATGGAAACAGAAAATGAACATAGGAAATGAACATAGGAAATGTACGTAGGAAAAGGCCATAGGAAATAAACATGGGAAATGACCATAGGAAATGGACATAGGGAATGGATGTAGGAAATGGACACAGAAAATGAACATAGGAAATGGACGTAGGAAATGGCCATAAGAAATGAACATAGGAAATGGACGTAGGAAATGGCCATAGGAAATAACCATAGGAATTGAACATGGGAAATGACAATAGGAAATGGACATAGGGAATGGATGTAGGAAATGGACACAGAAAATGAACATAGGAAATGGCCATAGGAAATAAACATGGGAAATGAACATGGGAAATGACCATAGGAAATGGAAATAGGGAATGGATGTAGGAAATGGACACAGAAAATGAACATAGGAAATGGACGTAGAAAATGGCCATAGGAAATAAACATGGGAATTGAACATGGGAAATGACCATAAGAAATGGACATAGGGAATGGATGTAGGAAATGGACACAGAAAATGAACATAGGAAATGGCCATAGGAAATAAACATGGGAATTGAACATGGAAAATGACCATAGGAAATGGACATAGGGAATGGATGTAGGAAATGGACACAGAAAATGAACATAGGAAATGGGCGTAGGAAATGGCCATAGGAAATGAACATAGGAAATGGACGTAGGAAATGGCCATAGGAAATAAACATGGGAATTGAACATGGGAAATGACTATAGGAAATGGACATAGGGAATGGATGTAGGAAATGGACATAGAAAAAAGTACGAGAAAGGCAGGGAGGAATCGAAAAGAAGCAAATATGGCCGAGAGCTATAAAAAAAAGAAAGAAATCTTAGGAGAGTGATGTTTTCCTTTGCACTGAAGAGATACGACACACATAGATAGAGAGGGGTGGGCACTTCGGCGTGGTGTAATGGTTAACAAGCTTGTCTGAGTAGTAAGTTTGATTCTTATTGGGTGCTCCATAGTTTCGTCCTTGTGCCAGTGCAATATCTAAGCTACGCTTAGAAAATCGCCACAGGGCATTTCGGCGTGGTGTAATGGTTAACAAGCTTATTTTTCTAGAGCAATTACGACTGACTAGTGAGTTTGATCCTGACTTGGTAACCCATACTTTTGTACTTGTACCATATCTAAGTTACGCTTAGAAAATCATCATATCTATAGTGAGAGTGAAGGGTGAAGCTTATTGACCATAACTCAGACTAGATTTGAAAATTCTTTCTTCAAATTATAGCCAAGAGACGTTTTCGTTGAAATATAATCCTGTTAGTATTTTGTGTAGTTATCAGGACACACCCTCATCTAGGATTTAGAAAGGAAGTTAAAAAACAGACACAATGTTTTTTCGTTTTAATATTACTGACCGAGATCAAGTTATTACTGTCTTCAAGATTGTTTAAAAAACCCTGGCAGTTTTTTTAACAAGATCAGTTTAACTTAATGTTTTTGAAAGAGAATGGTTATTGCTAACTGTCTAAAGAATAATAGCCGATTAAAATACGGCAACCATTTATATCTATCCAATATCCAGGCAACTCAGCAGTACTACACTCTCCCTATGATGGCTCAAAGATTATAATGTACAACGGTTACATTAGCTTCTTTTTTTTATATTGATTTTTATTTTATTTTTAACATATGTTTTTTTATATTCAGTTGTTGGTTATGTTTATTTTTTTATAATGATATTCACTCTGTACAAGAGTCACTCGAGGTAGAGAGTTGCAGATTAACTGACACCATCCTAAGGAAGGCGATGACGCTATCAAGCTACTGGAAGTGAAAGAGAAGGCAGAGATTTTAGAAGGAACCGGAAACCCAATCCTAAAAATGAAACAAGGGATAAACATCTACTCCTGTTCAAAATTATTTTTTTGATGTTTTTGTTTAACTGCATATCAACTCTTTATGGGTCATTTAATGATGAAATTTAATTTTCTTTGGAGTTTGAAAGTAATAAAAATATATGTTATTCTGCTTTCACAGCTGAATACATGGTAGGTGATACTCAGTTTATAAAGAGTTTATGTTGGTTGATTGGTGGCATTTTAAACGGATTTGTTTGAAGTCACTGCAATTTGTTAGTATCCGCGTATTGTTGGTAATTTTACTATAAAAATCTATTTTTATATTTTTATAATGTTTTGTTTGGGGGTTACTATTTGCCCATAGCTGGAACCCTAAAAGGTACTACCATCCTGGGTCATGGTGGATCTGGGAATAAGAGAAATTAAGAGGTGTTTCGATGTCCCTCAAACACTCGACTCTCCCGATCAGAGGCCTGGCAACCGGATGTAGTTTATCGTCATACCCGGGACTATTCTGTTCAAAAGATCGGGGAGGAGTGCGAACCGGATGATAAACAAACCTATCTACTGTGATTAATCTATCTATTCCTACTTTCAGGGAAGGTCTGACCGGCATCAAGTTGATAATCAAAGACCTAGGTGCAGGCTTCCATCAACCAGTCGAAGGGCTCCACTGCCTTACTCAAGTAAGACAAAATTTTATTTTATTTTTATTATTATTATTATTATTATTTTTATTTATTTATCTCAATTAAAAAAATACTCATCTCAAAGCAAGAGGTAAAATGACTTCATCTATACGAGATCTCTCTAGAATTAATCCACCTATTTTGATTATCTGGAGAACCGGTTGTCCAGTTTTAATATAACTATATACTGCGCATGCGTGAAAATTCGCTGATGCAGTTACGCAGTCGACAGTAAAAGGTCATTGAGTGAGACACCATTGAGTGAGCTGGTGTAGAAAACATAGAAAAAAAATTTTTGAACAAATTTTTCATGTTTAATACAGAGTTACGTTTTTAGGTTTTGCTGTTTTCGTTTATTGTTTTCCTTCTTTTTTTGTGGGGGGGGGAATATCTCATCTCAGGGGACGGACAGAGTCCCTCGTCTACTATTCAACTTTTACTCTCAGTGACTTCTAGCTTTTTCCCAACATTAAAATCACCGTCGAAATGCCATAAACAGAACTAAGAATAACAGCTGGTGGCGATCCCGAATAAAGAACTTTTCTGAATTTTTTAAAAGTAGAAAAAAAAAAGACTGGAATGATTCCAACTTAAATTATCAACAACATATTTTGTCATTTGGAAAGAAAACAAATGTACTTTTCCCTTTTGCACGTAATTGTTGACAAAACGAGATAATGGCTTCTGAGTAAAAACGGCACTATTTTGATTTTTATATCTAATATTGCTTCTGTTTACTTATAATATATAGCCATTCTTAAAGAGTTTACACCTTCTTGCTCGAAAGTTACAATATTAAATGTCAGCTGGTTGCCTTCTCAGCAATTTCTTATGTTATAAATACAGTTCAGCATCATTAACATTTTACACTTCGCGAGATAAAGTACTTCGCAAAATCTATTATAAAATTCATTACTTACTTATTTACTTATTAATCATTTCACACCGAGCAAGCTAATAAAGCTACTAAGACGCAAGGTGTGTGAGAGGATATCAGAAAAAGAAAACATTATTAAGGTTAGAGAACAATAAAAAAAAAAAGAATTAAGAAGGCCGAAGATAATGATTGACATTGCATTTAAATTTTTGAAGATCAAAGTTGACTGGAAAGCAAGAAACTGGAACAGAGTTCCACAAGCGAGAGAAGAAACTATTAGCATAGAACTTACGGTTTCATCTATCCACTTCAACTATAAAATGATGACACCTTCCTGCCAGTCTAATAATCCGCTTAAATTTATAGAGTCTAGGTAGCAAAGAGGAAAGTTCATCGGAACAATTACCACGAAAATATTTATAGAAAAGGCGCGTGGAAGCTACTTTACAATAGTGGGAAAATGACTAAAGCTGAAATGACAGGTCATGACTGGACTTTCCATAAACCTGACAACCGTTTCAATAGGTTTTTTCAATTTCAGTCCAGGTTTCATTACAATCATGTTTTTATTGCCTTATACAGGGTGACCAAAAAAAACGGGAACTTTTTAACAATCTAATAAAACCAAGAGTGGTGAAAGAAAAATATTTTATTCATAGTAATTGAAACCTTAAAATATGCCATTTAAGAAACAATGATGGAATTTTCATTTTTTTAAAATTACGTCCTGTAGATGGCGTCCTCCTGTACGAAGGCATTCTTGAAATCTGCTGTTGAGATTCCTCATTGATTGCTGCAACATCTCAGCTGGGATACTGTAAATTTCATCTTGAATCCAAAATGGCGAAATGTTTACTTGCTCAAAGTCACTGTCTCGCAGTGTTGCCACTTGCTGATGTCTGGCAATACGCACTTCAAAAATTCCCGTTTTGGGGGGTCACCCTGTATATTGTGACAGTGTGAACGCTGGAGAATAGTTTCTTTGGAAGATATTATATCACACAATGTTGAATTTCCTATGTTGAGCTCAGCCATTAGTTACAATAAACTTTCACCAGTGTCAAGTCTGTTTAAAATTTCCGCTTTTTGCGATAACTCCAAAATTGTTCCTTTCCTCTTATTACCATAATCTTTTGCACCAATACAAGCCATTAGGGTGAAATAAGCATAAACAATTATACAAAGTAAATTTCCTGAAAAGAAGACATTTCAAATTAGTTACATAACACACAAATATAAACATCAAAATCTTGTTTGGATATGCGGAATTCCGGATGTGAGGCACTCCGAAGATTTGGGATTCCGGATATGAGGGATTCTACTGTATTTAAATTACAATAACATTTTCTGCGCTTATCATAAATCAATTATTTTTTTTTTATTCGTGAGTATAGAATGGACGGTTGTGAAGTTTAATGAAGGATGTGGAATTTAACAATGTATAGTATTGAGTCAAGTTTTTATTATTAAAGGAATGCTACGATCACTTTGGACATTACAAATAATGATCTTATTCTTTAAAAAAACATAAATTGTCTCCCTTTTCTATTATTGTTAAACTGGGTAATTATTTCTATAGTCGCATAAAAGAAAGAATTTTGTTTTTAAATTATTAAAAGTAAATATATATATATATCCAACAAAACATGAAGCAAAAGAAAGATCAATTTTTTTAACTTTACATTTTCAGCAAATCTCTGCTAATACAATTTCTTATTACTCTTTACAGAAAGAACAACAGAAATTGCTGTTTCATAATATTGCTTTGACAAGTTATGCCCGCCAACATGGCTTCCATGTTGTAGAAACGTTTAATATGACGATGGGGCGCTATAAGGACTTTCTGCAAGGACAATGCGCTTGCCATTTCCACAGAGTAAGTCAGATTCACATTTTTTCTTCGAGTCAACCACACAGAAAGTACTAAAACAGCAAATAACATTAAAATGAAATCTAAAAAAATATTTCGATATAAATGAGTGAAGTTCTTAAATCTTATAATTTAAAAATCCCTGTTATAAGTACAACATAAGCATAAAACGTTCTTATCGTAAATTACGCAAAAATGAAAATAACACTGATATCTCATTTTAACAGATATATTTACCAAAGTTACACATCTTGTAATACTAAAGAGCAAATTTATTCAATAAAATCGTCATTGGCTTCAACCAGACGACTTTGGAATTATCTGCAACTCTCCTTGTTTAAGTTGGTTAATGCTGCCATAATCCTTGCCTTCAATTCATCTTTGGTGTTATAAAAAGTTTTGTTGGTCTCTTGCTCAACTGCTCCCTACACCTAATAATGAAGTTGGTTGCAGTCTGGGAAGTCTAGGTAACCAGATATAAGGTGTGATGTGATTACAGAAATTGTTTACCAGCCGTGACTGAGTTCTTCTGCTTGTGTGGTATGGTGCAGAGTCCGGTTGACAGACGTAGGGTCTTCCAACAGCTATGCTCTTGACACAGGGAACCATTAACTCCTCAAGTCACTTGATGTAGGCTTCCGTGTTGAATCTGAGGCCCTTTGGGAATATGAATGGAGGCATAACGTCACCATCACTAGTAATCGCTCCAAACACCTTCGTAATCACCATTAGACTTCTCCAACTCTTTCCGAATAATCTGCATTCTCCTCAGATTGACACCCAAACACTCTCAAATGTTCGTATTTGTGCTTCTGGCACGAATGCCAAGCAGAAGAGCATGCCGTCTCAAAATTTCTGGCGGTGTGAATTGCGTTATGTTGCTCTTTTTCTCACAGACGGTGCCCAACTGACCCTACTATACTGTATAGTCGACAAAATCAAGAACGAAAAAACGCGCATGTGCGAAATTAAAATATAAAATGGTGATAATTCTCCCATCGCACCCTGCATAATTATAAATGCAACAAATTACGCAGTACTTATTTCGATTAACAGCGTTACTTAAAACGATTACTTTGCCACTTATGTAAATGTAAAACCAGTCTTAGTTGGAATTAATATAAGTTACAGATGGCTATAAAAAGGCATTGTTGGTTATTTATGTTTAAATTGTTTAAATAATACACTGACTGTTTGTGTCGTGTGGCAATAATTTTAAGTAAAATGATGCACTAAAATAAGTGACTAAATAATCGTTTTAAGTTCTCTGAATATCGGTGCCAATTTTAAAACTTTCGGTCTATTGAAGTGAAAATGATTTAAGTATCAAAATATTGAAAACAACCCATTTATTTTTGCTTTGTTGTTTATACATGAATTAACCTTTTTCACAATTACTTTCTTACGCTATTGGTCACCCAAGGCCCAAAAGGCCCTCAAGGTAATGGGTTACTGAATGGGGCGATTTATAGAAGTAAGATTTGTAGATTATTATTATATATAATGGCTGACCATAGACTTGAAGAGGTTAAGATTGTTGTGGTTGGAAAAGCATCTTCTCATGAGTTCGATACACAAAGCAGCGACTCCTAGGAAGAAACCCTCAGAAAAGAACTTCACTTCTTTAAAAATAATCTGAAGTGTGTGGCGCGGAGTAAAATTTACGATGGATACTGAAAAGTTCTCTACACGACCCACTTCTCAAAATCTGACCAACCATCATTTTTTTTTTCGGGCCGGCATCAATACATGCTATCTGTCTTCCTTATTGATCAACAGAGAAGACGCCGGGCCGCAAGGATTCTATCCCTGCAGCACCACCATCCTCATTGCCCTAAATGAAGGTGGGTCGGTGGATATCAATAACAGCGTGACAGTTGTCTCATGGACAGAGCAATTTTTGTCCTTGGCCCATATGCACACACACGCATGGGCACCCCATTTTAAATCAACCCTGTGTCAAACCCTACCCTCACGTGGAGAAGGGTGAATGCCATCATAATTTTTTTTAGAGTGAGAAAAGCTATGCATAAGTCAGTTTTATACCTGTGTCTGCGAGTATCCACCCGGAAGGTAGTTCTTTTACCAAACGTCTTACCCATCTGCAGGAGATGCAGTTGGCGTATTTCGTTCCGCTCCAACAGGATAGATAGATAGATAGATAGATAGATAGATAGATAGATAGATAGATAGATAGATAGTGAACGGAATTAGATAGTCAGAATTAGATAGAGAGAGAGAGATATACTGAACAGAATTAGATAGTGATCAGTATTAGAATTAGTGATCAGAATTAGATATCTATCTAATAGATAGATAGATAGATAGATAGATAGATAGATAGATAGATAGATAATGAACCGAATTCGATTGATAGATTTTTTTATAATTTGTTTAGTTTTTTACATCAGTTTAATCTTTTCCGTCCTATTTTTTCAGGTTGTAGTTCAAAAGAAACAGAAGCAGAACTGTGGCCATCGATGCCCCAGTCATCGTTCACATCAGCCGAAGGTGTCGTCACCACCGTCATTCCACGTAGAAGGGGAGATAAATGCTGTCTACTCAGAGATGATGATCACTCAGATCTGTTCACATATGATCTATGATGGTGTATGATTACCGATCAGTCCCACTCCTACCATCGCCACCACTGATGCCGTGTGGGAATAAACATTATTCTAATACGTGCACCAACATGGGAATTTAAGCCGGAAATTCTTGCAACTGTAAGGCATGTGTCTGGAAGACCGTTTCGCCTTGAATAGCGACATTGTGATAAGACAACACCAGGGATTTTTGTAACTGTAATACAGTTGGTGATACCAAGAAACAAAATGAAAAACAAACAAACAAACAAACAAACAAAACATTCATTTTAATAACATTTCTTTAAATGGATACTATCTGGTGATTGTTTTAATAAGATGACAGTTGTTGCTGGATATTACAGTTTTCTTTTTTAATATTTTTTAAATGTTAATTAAATATTAAAGAAAATAGAGACTTCAAAATTTTAGGAAAATAGAAGCAAGAACTGAAAAGACGAAACTATATACAAGTTTAAATATTAAAATTACAGCTCGGATCTGGAAAAGACGAAAACCATTAATAATCTGTCTAGAAGGAATTTTCAATATTACTTGTAGCTGAGTGACAAAAAGTATTATTTCTCGAAAACAACGTGGATTTGGCAGGATTATAGATTAATGTACTAAACCATAAGTATTATTCCTCCCCCCTCTTTCAGTGATATTGTTAAAGCTTTTTGAGTATTGTTAAAATCCTGCGAAATCCCTACAGCTACAATCAAGTCTAAAAATGCTGCCTTCTTGCCTTCTTTTTTAGCATTGTTCTTTCTTTCTTGTTTAATTCTATATATTTAAACAAAAAAAAGACTTTATTTTTTCATATCAATTCTACTGATATTATCACTGCAATAATACCTTACAAAATGAACTTATTTTATTCAACAAATTAACCTGAGTTTATACCAAAAAAAAGTGCACGCATTTTTTTTTTTAATACTATCCTATGGACAAATCCCTGATCCTCATAAAAAAACAACAGCGTCTTGAAATATACAAGAACGAGACATGAGCCGTTACCGAAAGACGGTTTGTGGTTTGACAAACTAAATACCGAAAGATTTAATCCCAGTGATGGGTGTATAGTCCAAATGAACAATTTTGCCATATCATTGAAAACACTTCGTTCCAGAAAAATCCTAACTACAAACATCGAATAAATCCATTACAAATTCTATAGATTTCTCTGACTGGGGATATGAAGACACGTTTTTCTTGTCAATGTTTCAAACTGTACTTGGTCTTTTTCAATGAATATATTCATACGCCGACCGAACAAACACGGTTCTTTAGACCACTCATACTAAAAAAAAAAAAAATGCAGGTTATATGATAACTGTTTAACATCGTATTAAAAAACGCAAATCTGATTTTACATATTGATCACTGCAAGAAAGGGGAAAAGACGTTTTCTTTCTGCTTGAAAACACGAGAATGAACAAAGTTCTTCATACGAACCTTCGGGCTACTTTGAAAGTAGTCGTGTACCAGACTTTTAAAATAGAAACAACTTTATATTAACTTACGAAATGAATTTCACAGTAACACAAAAAATGTTGAAAGATCAATACTAAGATAAATTTTCGCGGTGTGGATTAGAATTTCCAAGCAAATCAAGCGTCGATACAAGATTTCAAATTAACATTTTAATAACCTTGAAACGTGTTAAAATGTCGCTGACGTTCTCAATCAATCAGATCTTGCACAGAGTGGAAGAAAAAAAATAATTTATTAACTCTGGATCTGTGTAAGGAACTTTGATCGTGTGCGGTATAATATGGCGATTTAAGAATGCGTTTACATAAAATAGAACCAGAGTTTGTTCTGATGAAAAAGGAAATAGTTTTGTTTGATGTAAATACGTTTTGTAGATTTCATTGTTTTAGTATTTAAAAATGAACATAATTATTATCCAGGTTTATAACAATGACGTTAATAGTAACATTTGAAGGGATTTTCTTACCCGACATTATTTTTTATTACAATAAACGTTATTTTTAGTGGGTACACATGCTTGTGTTGTAATCCTTGTTTCGTTTCGTTTTTTGCTTAAACAGTGAAATTAATAACAAGCGGCCTAGATTGAACCTAGGAATTCTCAAACGAGGCCAGTTGTTATTTCACTGTTTAAGGAAAAAAAAAGACATGACTAGCAACTCAAACACGTGTAGCCAGGAAAATTAACGTTTATAGTAATAAGAAGAAATGACTTTAATGTAATGGACGCGCATCACATGAAAGCGGTAATAAGTAATTGAAGAAAATCAAGGTTTAGTGAAGAATGGTATTTGTTGAATTCTCATTAGCGTTTATTATTATTATTACTATTTCCTTTGATTTCTGTTGTATACACATTTCCTTCCGGGTCTCAACCAGAGACCTAAGGTCAGAAATAGCTTCATGACATTATAACATTTTCCACTGATCATTTCTGTAAAAAAAAGAAAAGAAAAAGAAAACAAAGATCGCAAACATTTTACATAGATAAAGGTCTTCGTAATATGTGAACTGTAGTTGTGAGTACAATTTTTTGTATTTCTTTAAGGTATGGGCTACCAGGAATCCCTTCATTGAGCCTATCGAAACCTTTTCTAATCAATCTGAGGGCTCCAACTACAACTGGAATTATTGTTGCCCTCATGTGCCACATTTTTTAGATTTCCACTCGAAGATTCTTGTATTTTGATCATTTTTTGAAGATCTTCAAAGATACATTACAATCTGCAGGAACTGCAATGTCAATAAGAAAGCACATTCTGTTTATGTGGTCTTTGATTACGATGTCTAGACGATTAGCTTTTATTGTTCTGTATCTGTGTATTGTAAAGTCCCATAAAATTATTACTGATCTTATCTCTTTAACCGGGTCTTGCAGTTTCTTTCCCATAAAAGTTGCATATTTTCCAGTGCAGATATTGGCCCAGTCTATCATGTTTATATTCAGTAGGTGCTAACACCGTATAACCTAATGCAAGATGCTCAATTGTTTCTGGATATTTATAACAGAATCTTCATCTTTGGTTATCACAAGTTTTTAGTATGTGTGCTTAGTGGTTTCCAATTAGCAAGCATTGGTCCTGTGTAGCAAGAATAAAACCTTCAGCTTCTAACTCTGCACTACTTAACCACTGATGAGGACGGGGACTACATCAGCTTGTTTGGTACCGACAGAGCATTGACCCTGAAGAAGATTATATTGCCATCGTTTTCTGCATTTTCTACATTGCATTTGCTTTCTTTTTTATGTTCTTACCTGCTTTATTTGAACTTCTTCACCCACTTGAAACTCCATTTTGAATTTGTTGGTAAAGTAAACTTTCTTATTTCTTTCATGTTCTTTGACACGGTAGTTTCCTGTTATCTTTGAAGACCGTTTGTTAAACTAATCCTCTGCTTCCTTCTGGTCTGGACAAACACAAACGATCAACATCAGCCTTAGGATGATGCAAGCTTTCTCGTTTTAACATTCATTCGCTTAATGTCAGCTATGGTTCAGTTGAGATTGTTGAAACTGTACTGGACCACAGGGACAACCAAAGTGTTTATGGCTGATATTCTGTTTTGTCATTTCAATTCGGTATTTAACACCAGAAGCACATGATGGTAGCATTCTTTTCTTACTTTTCTCATTCACTTGGCTATGCTGAATTCTATCACCTTCTCTAATTCCTAGTTACCTATAGGCTTCTTCTTGTTCCAGTTCCCTAATCTTTGTGACAAAATCTAAATCTACTGTGTGTGTTTCTTTAATTCTCCCTTTCTTGAATGTTGCTTTTGCACGTTTATCTAATCTGAAATCCATACCGATCACATCACTGAAACATTTTACAGTATTGAGACCTTTCAATTCATTATCGTCTTTGGCAAAGCGTTTGATATAATCCAAGTAGAATAGGTGATTAAACACTGTCTTTTTTACTTTGTATCCATAGTTATTACTGTTTAGTCCATACGAAAGGGGGGTTAAGAACAGTCAGAAAAGAAGGGGGCGACAGGGAATCTCCTTCAAAGATTCCTCATCGGATATTCAAAGAATTGAAAGTGGTAGTACTTTTGGTCTGATTTACGATTAATGTGGTTTTCCACAATTCCATATTATATTTAAGGAATTAACTATCACCGAGGAGATTTTCAAAGCCTTAAGGGTCCAAGAGTGTGGAGCACTATCAAAGGCTTTGCAGTAATCTATTCAAGCTGTGCTGAGATTTCTACCTTTTTTCATGCAATTTTCCAGTATCATTTTATTTATTAGTAGCTGATCTTTGCAACCATATAAACCTCTTCGACGTCCCTTTGTTACAGAGGAAGAATGTTTTCATCAAGAAAAGTGTAAGTACAGCTCGTCGGGACAGACGGGATCAATGTATATGTGGTTGGCAGACATGTTATTGGCCTATAATTCATTGGATCATCTGTTTCACCCGTTTTTGCTAGGATATATGTAATACCTTCGGTGATCCATTCTGGAATTTCATTGAGGTTATTAATTAGCATTGATAAAATTTGTGTAAGAGTTTTATGGAATGATGACAGATGATGGGTACCTTATCATTTCCTGGGGATTTCTATTTTGGGGATTTTTTAGAGCATGCCTAACATTATTTTTGGTTATATTTTTTTTTCTATTCTTTCACAGTTTTATCTTTCATTCTTTCCTATTCTCGTTTGATCCATTATTCATTGGAATTATATTCATTTGGGCTGCTCCAAAACTTCTCCCCAAAATTTTGCACTTCTTCAATAGATGGTGGATTTTTGACTTCTATAACTGTTTTTTTTTTTCAATTTAACTACGAAACTTTTTGATGTCCATTTGGAATATCTTATGTTATCGATAGAACCTACAACGTTTTTCATATCTCTGTTCTCATTATTATCATTATTATTATTATTATTATTATTTTAAAACAGCGCTTCTTAAATCTTTTCTTCCTTAGCGACCCTTTTTTAAATATATGCGCGATAGCGTCCTCTATGTTGAAATTGTAGCAGCAGTTAGAACAAAGTTAATGTAACGGTAGATGTTACGAG